TCTGAGAACTGTGGGAAACCCTGRGCCTAAATTTCATTATATTCAACTTCTTCAGAATCACACAGTGATTCACAGTCTTTCTGGAAGAAACCCTCAAGGATTTTTTGGCACAACTTCCTTTCTTCTCATCCCAGCTCCAGCTTCTTTCCAGCCGCCTCAGCATTGCTCTTCCAGTTTCTGTCACTCAGTCCTCACTCTTCAAATACTCRAACCTCCCCCAGCTGCAGCAGTGCTGGCATGAGGCCCAAGGTAATAAACCTATCAGAGCTTATTAGCTTGGTATGCACTCTGTCCCTCAGCCCCATGTTAGCACCTCTCATTACTCCAGTCACTCACTAGCTGGGAACTGGCACATGGGAGGATGATAGCAGGGCCACATCAGAACCAAAAGCTTTTGTGCAGTGTTCTTCCTCACCCTTATCCAGAAAAGACATCCTTTCTTTTCCTGAATCCCTCACCCCCAATTTGCTCTCTAACACTTTCTGACTTCACACAWGAAAAATTGAGATTGTTCCATTTGGTGACTCTAGAATTCTCTGATACAAAAATTGCTGAAGTTTGTTATGYCAGTATATAGAAATGTAATGTGCATGTCCACATCAATCGTGTCAGTCTCGTGAAAATGCCAGCAAAATAAATTKAAAGCTACTTCCTTCTTTTTTAATACAAGAATCAGCTGCTCAACAGGATGCTCCCACAATTACCAGTTAWTAAAGCAGCCATACCTTCCTGAAAGACAAACTCCCTTTCCACAGGCAGACACAAACACTGKCTGGCACAAGAACTAACAAGCAAGCAGAAATGCCATCTTTCTTTACAAAGGGTCCTATCTGAGGTTTAACAAATTAGTCCAAAGGTGACATACCATTATAAGTTCACACATAAGCACAAGAGAACTCTTTGTGCTTAACTAGTGTACAACAGGATTTCTTTCTTGTAAGAAGGGCAAGGAAGGGAAAGCAGAACTACTAAAACAACAGAAGGAAGATTTTTGTGCTCTTTATCCAAAGCATCAACAACAGAGTTGCCTTCCCTGGAACGTGTTGTAAACCTTGGTCTTAACCTCATTATGTTATCACCATGCTGTGACACTGACCAGGCTTGTGTCATTTGCAGTTGCCAGCAAAGTGACAGAAGCATTTTCCTCTCAGCTTCCTATCTTAGAAATAAAACTGTAGACTACCTAAGTGTACTTTATCTCTGTCCTAATGCATAATTGCAGGGATAACAAGCAGAAAGCYTCCATATCAGTTACAGCCTCTGATGCAGGCGAACTTTAATTCCCCTCAAACCAGCTCCAATTTTTCTGATTGCATTAACAACGCAACCATTCTTTGCACAGGGTTATACACGAGCTTACTTCACTTGCAAATTTAAATTTAGACTCAGCAAGTTCATGAATACAAGAAACAATTTTGCACCTAATACAACTCCCCTCAATTTGTTCAAGTTCAGTAGTTTTCCAGTAACTTTCCAGTAACAATAAGTAGCACATAAGAATTGCTGAAGCCAATTTCAAGTATTTTTTTTAATGAGTATGTTATATTATTCTGGCATATTTCTTAAAGCCAGTGACAAAGACACTGCAGTGAGCATAAGAATAGGAAATTTGGGGTTTAGGATAAATGTGCTCTTCAAAACTGAAAGTGCTCCACAGTCCAAGTTACCATACCTAGACTTAATAAAAAAGGCTTGAAGATTTATAGGAATCGTTATTACAGGAAGATAGATTACAGAGAAACAGGCAGAATATCGATGTGGTATTTAGCCTAAACTTGTAATACATAACAGCTATTCACAATTCCTTGCTAATGCAAAAGGAAAGGAATTATTTACTGGACTCTTCTGTACCTAATTTCAATGCTCATCATTGAGGCATTGTATCAGATAGGTCTTGAAGCTAAAGACAAATGGAGACATGCAAGAGRTTACTGGTTTTGTACAGGTAAATGAGGAAAAACTTCAGTGTCTCCAAATCTTCAGTGGAAGGCACACAGCACTGCATGTGCCCTGTCTGACCCAAGGCTGGTCACATGTGAAATTCATACAGAGCAATTCTTTATCAAAGCATTAGTTAGGTTTTTAGCATTYTTCTTGTTTTACAGAGAGAAGGAAAGAAGGCACTCATGCAATTAAGAATTCCTTTCTCTTCCCTCACCACCCTCTGCTCAATTATCTTGTTGAAGGCAACTGACTGAATTTTAACCTCGGTCACCAAGGAAAGCATTATTTGAAAAGTTTCACTGTAACTTTAGAGAAGGAATACTCAGAGCCYAAGGCAAATGTGGCAGCTTATTGGAAAAGTGCTGTGGCCCTTTCTGAGCTTGCAAAACAATTACTGCCCATCATGTTTTCTGTAGGTAGTTTCTTGTATTTCAAGAAGTTAGAGATATATTAGGAAATGTGGGATATGGGAGTTTCTGTGGTAGCTTTAACCCTAAAAAAATAGYAAAATGAAAATAAATCAAGAGTTCTGGGTAGCTAGAAAGATTCTGTATGCATTCCATCAGCCTTCTGCACCATGCACACTCCTGTGCATGACTTACAGGCACACGTTTCAGCCAGCCACTCCTTGCCTGTGTCATATTACAGCCTTCACAGCCCCTGACTTCATGGCTACAAAATAAATCTGATTGTGAAAGAGACGATCACAAGTACAAAAAAAATTAAAACTGAAGTGAGTACTTGAGTTTTTACAGAACCACATTATTAACYCCAGCTTCTTTCTAGTCTCTTCTGGTACAGTTTGGCTCTTTGATMGTAAGGTCCCATTCTGTCCAGTTGCTGCCTTATGGAACAGTTTTCCTSTAACTCAAAGTTTTCTCTCTTCTTTCATCATATTCCAAAACAAAACATATTTTTTCACCCTAATCTCACCCATTTGCCTCCCCTYCAGGATTTTACTCACAAAATGCAGCACATGATGTATACCTAAAAAGGGTATTCCTCAAGGGCAATATACACATGGCAAGAAAAAGAAACTACATAAACTGAGAAAACAACAACAAAACACACAACTCACAAAACCCAACAACCACAAACACAGACTAACAGGACATCACTGATCATGACATCACTGACTACTGAGCAGTTCAGAGCTCCAGCGTTTGATCTATAATGTGGAAGGTCGTGACTTCACAAGAACACACTAAGTACCCTATTTTCCAGTTTTAATTATATTTTCAATTAAGACATAAAGAATGAAGTGGAGTCAAGCAGATCACGCATTTAACTTTCTTCTTCCCCTACTTTTGTGAAACAGCGACTTAGATAAACTTTTCAATTCCTCTTCATCCTCAAGGCTATAACACTTTCAGACTTTCCTGAGATGATAACTCTTGCTTGGCAAGGCTTTTCAAACCCTACCAACCAACAACATGAGTGTTTTCATAGACATTCTAAATGGTGCAAAAGATGTATTGGAAAACAGATGTAGAATAGCAACTCAGCTCACAAGGCGCACATATTTCTTGATAGCAGAACAGTTTCAATAAATCTCATTCAATTACAGAAATACTTCCACCCTAGTTTTAGTCAGTCTCTTCACTGAATTAAGGCAAATACCCACAAGACAATTAAACTTGAAACAAATTGTGAGTCCTCTAACCTTCAGATCTGCTTCATTTTCCTCTTTCAACCTTGCAAGTCAGAAAATGCACATACCTGTTTTTCTCACCAGAGGCTCAATTAATTCTTTTTATTAAATAAAATACAGTCATTTTTGAGAGGTGTCACGTTGAAGTTTTTTAAACATACACAGGTCATCGTTGTTAAATATTAAGTCACACTAACAAAGAGCAGCCAAAGAGAAACAAGACCATCTCACGTGTACTGTGCAYGTAGAGAGTAGTCAACAACCACTTATCACCTCCTGCCCATTTTTGTATTTCTTTAAGCAGTTACAGGGAAAATGCACCGCACTACCAGGTTTTTACCACCTTTTTCTTTTTTTGAAGCACAGCAGTATTGTTTCAGCAATTCCTGAAGTCTGAAATGTGKTTTATAAAACTTCAAGAGATATTTAATCAAATGACTGATTCCAAGAACAGCATGAATCTTTTTAATTACAATGTCTGTCAGCCATCCCAGTTGTCACTACTTTAGAAGTATGGCTTTTRTTTTCCTCCACTGTTGCTCTAAAATTTCTTATGTCTCAATAAATTTTATTCAGGAAATAGCATCCCTGCTCCTAAACYCTGAGAGTAAGTTTTCATCCTGATTCAACCCGACAAGTGGGAGATTTATTCACATATTTGAGAAAAAAAAAAAACAAAAACCATGTTTCTGCTAATTCAGTGGACTGTGTTCCAGAGCTCGTTTGTGTTTTGCCCTTCCTGAACAGAATTCTTTGCTATGGCTTCATGCTAAGCCAAAAGTAAACACTTCTCCTTTTCATATGGACAGCTCTATCACATAGTACCATCACAGGCATCAGTGATGACAGAAGAAAAACTGTACTCCCCCAACAAGAGGGAAAAAAAAAAAAAAAACCAAACAAAAAAAAAACCCACACACAAAAACAAACAAAAAATCCCAACGACACAAATATTGTTCAGCCAAATCAATGCATGTGTCTGAAATACAAGTTTTACTTCGTCATCAAGCTTTGTTCTCAGGTATCACTGGAGAGCAGGGCAGTACCAACTTCTCAATGGGCACACAGTAAGACAAAAACCACCAGATAATCCTTGATTTAAAAATATCTCCCACAAATATCTTCAGTTTAAGATTTACCAGCACTTGTGCAGCATGCAGACAGATGTTAACCTAAATATCACATACAACACACCTGGGCAATTATACTGGAAAATTCTTCTCTAAAACCAGCTCAGCTGAAACAGGTACTAAGATGAATTGACAATACACAGCAGTCAAAATCAATTTTTTTAATGTTCTAATCTTTGGCAGATATATTCACATTCCCTACCTTCAAAAGTCTCCATGATCACTTTGCAAAAGGAATTTCAAAATAGCAAGACTAAACACCACTGAGGACTTACCAGATTGGAATTGGTGGCATTGGAATCATCTTCTGGAAAGGGGATATAGATAGCTAAGGCCACACAATTGGCAAAAATAGTCAGTAAAATAATTATTTCAAATGGTCTGAGGAACGGAGTTAAGGAAATTGTTCCAAAATGAGCACACAAAAATAAAAAGAAATAAAAAAAGATTTATTAAAATTCTGTTTAAAGAAAGCATTCCAAGCCCCTTATATTCTGAAAAGAAACATATGCCTTTTTAAGTGCTTTTAGGAGCTCCCAGCCAAGAATCTTCCTAACATGTCAAAAGCAGTGTAGGCCAGTCGCGTGCCAGAGTAAACACAGATTTCCTAAAAGTTTTTTCTTCTTTTACTTATTTAGATTGCATTTTCCCAGTTTTCCTTCAAGTGTAGCTCCACTAGTTTTAATAACAGAAACCTGTTCTATAATGACAGTCCTTTTTTTTGGGATTATTTTTTTCATCTGCATTTGTAAATTCTCAACTTTAACAATCATTTGGGTTGGTTTTTTTTTTCCTTTTTGTTGTTGCTGTATTTTTCCCCCATCTCAGTTTCTCTCATATCTCAGAGTGTAAGGACCCAAGGAATACAGGCATACATAATTAGAAGACTTTCAAAAAAGGATAAATTTTGTTAAGGCAAAAAAAAAGACTTTGCCCAAAATATGCTTATACTGCACAGTGCCATGTATACTTGTTTTGCTAAAAAAATATTTGAGGGACTATTTCTCTCTTATTTGCATTTCATTTGGCATCAGAGAGAACACAAACATCCTTGCACAGTATATTAGGATGCTGTAAGCTCCTTCTGACAAAGAAACAATTCATAGGCATTTCTGCCCTGTATCRACTTGCTGAGGAAAAAGAAAAACCAAACAATTTGAAATGCTCAGCAAAGAAATCCTGCACAACCTCAGTGCTCCCTGACTGACCACTGGAATCAAAAGGCATTTTTCTATTGCCCAGTTTCCTGGCACTGTACTTGATCTGCTTCAGTGGTCTCCTTCATCTCAATTGCTGTGAAGTGTCTCCAAACTCAGACGAGAGACCAGATTTATGGTCTGTCTACATTTACAGGCCTGCAGGAATATCCTGGAGGCTGCTTCTGGGATAACTCACCAGTACTCTGGAGGGGAATGAAGAGCAGGATAGAACAGGGAGAATGCCAAGCATAACCTGTGCCACAGAGTGCATTTGAGCTTGATTTTATCTACCATGGGACTGGCTCTGCAGCATTGCCAAATGTCAACACAGCACGTATGATTTTGGTCAGCAGACTACTGTTCTCAGCAGGCTTTAGCAGGAAAGAACAGGAGATCTTTGAGTGCTATGCTGAACTGCAAGATATCCACAAATTCCAGGCACCTGACTGCTGTTTATACTCAAATGCATCCTACATTTCACATATGGAAGAGTCAAAGGGTTCCAAACTCACCAGACTACTGTGCTTAAGCCTCTGAGTAACAGGAGATAAATGGTACCATGGAGGAAGAAGAGCAGATCAGGAGAGAAGACTGCAGAAGAAATCAGTAAGATTTCTCAGGTATACACTACCTCAGCCCGTTTGTATAATGTTAACTGCATAAAATTTGGATTTCCACAGGCTTTCGTTTTCTTAATCACTTTTTTCCCTACATTTTTTTTGTTTCAGTAGGATTATTATCTATTAACTTATCACTGTTTACATGTATTTTCTTTCAATTTTTTTTTCTACTGTAAACATTAAATTCTGTAGAATTTACAAATGCACTGCACACAAAGCAGAAAATTAAATACACAGCTAAATCTTGGCAAAATAAGGTAATTACTTCATTTCACTTTCTCTTAAATGCAATTGCTCATGCAGGCTCTTAATACTAGCATTTGGGTAAGAAACACCACTGAAGTACCATTTAATATTTGTTTAATTTCTATTATGCTTAAACTTCAGTGGTTCAACAAATGAAGCTAAGCCTTTCTCASTAGTTTTTAACAAGTAGGAAAAGGCAGAATATAGAATTAAACTACCTTAGCACAACCCTTTGATATTGCTACCTGAATTGTTTCCTGTTTATAAACATTAAATGTCCAATGAGAGGTTCTGATGGAAAAAAATTACTTCCATCAACTCCCCTAAAGCCAARCAAAGCCCAAAACTGCAAGCTTCAGCATCTTTCTATTGCTTTAATGGCATTGTTTGGACCTTTCTTGATCTCAGCAGTGCTGTATCCTGGTTTACAACACATCATTCCCATCATTCATTGCTGATCTTATTCATCTATCAAATGTCACTCTGTGCTTTCTCTGAAGATGTGGTTACTGGGGTGCTGCTAAGAAAACCAATATTCAGTTTTATCCTGTTAGTCATCACCCATCATCTTATGCTTAAAGTATCAGACTTATGCCAGAAGTAATGAAAAGCAGCAAACTTAATCACAGGATTAAAAATTAGCATCTGAATAAGAAAGGAACAGGCAGGCAGGTAGTTTAAGGACAGCTAAGGATTGACAGGAGCATTTTTAACAAGCTCTTCATCTGAAAAACATGTCCATGTCAGCAATACCTAATATACTAATTTTCTGTTTTCACCTAACATCCCACCAGACACCAAATGCAATAATATTATCACATTGTCTTAAATGTCTTAAGTCATATTTTTATCATATTAACTACTGCCAAGTTCTTCCTTTCCTTGGCATGCTTATCTATCCCTAAAACATTCTTTGTCTTTTGTGTTTCCCAAAGAATCCGATTACTTTGTGATTACCATTCCAGGCTAATCCCGGTTTCTCTTTGAGGATGCAAAGGAGGCTACGTTATTTCAGTTTGACTTCCACACCAAATACTCWAATTCCAGCTTGCGCTGATCAGACTTGGGTGACTAAAAAGGCTTTCTCCTTGCACATAATAAAGCAATGGTCAAATTCTCCCYGACTTTCCAGGGAAGCAGCACTGACCCTTACACTCTGCTGCTCTGTGTCGGTGGTTGCCATCTATCACCTGTGACACCATCTGTCTCTTGTTCAGACTATTGGATCTGGCTCTGCACYGCATTTGAACATGTTGCAGGATTACTTGAACTATATTTCTTTTATCCTTCTTCTAGATAACCATTATCCTTTGCTGTATTATTTTAACCGGACTACCAACATAATTAACAGTCCTCAGTCCTGTCTCAGGGTCACACTGCATACCTTTGGGGTTTTTTTCACCTTGTCCTTTTGCCCCGTTCTTCATATTGTAAAAAGTGTGATGCCACATGTTCAACAAAAAAGTCTGTGATTCAAAGTACCAGAGCTCTGGACTGGTGGCACCTCTAGAAAAAAATAAAAATAAAAAAGGAGAAGCTGTAGCTGCTGTCTCCCACAGAGATGAGGCCAGTTCAGTTCTGACCTCAGATAGCTTGAATATCTCCCAGGCATTTCAGCTTGGGCCATATGTTTTTAGGAGGAGAATTCAACCACTATGCATTAACATTTAAGCTTGTAGTGGTTTCTCACACTCAGGTACTGTTAAGGTTTCAGTTCTAACCCTCTTTCCTGACATCCCCCCCCCACCTTTCAGCATAAACAACCTCAGTTAACTATTCATGTACTTTAAGTTCCCAGTAATTTCATGCCTTGCTTTCCCCCCAATCACAAACAGGACCTGATGCACCCAAAGGATTTGCCGTTTGCCCAGTGAGCCCGTGCCAAAGGATATTTCCATTCAACAATGCTGATGCACGCCCTCCGGATGGGATTCTTCAGTGTTARACACAGCAGTGCCCGGGGAGGCCGCGTAGCTGTGGTTGTACCCTGTTTTTTCTGCTTCCCGTACTGCTGCCGTTTCCTCTGTGTGGAGCTGGCTGTGGATATTGTCGCATTGCCAGCACTACCCATCAGCTTGGCTTGCCTGGCAGCATCGATCGCAGCTTGCCAGGACAGAGCTGCTCCCGGAGTAGGGATATGCTCTGGGGCAAGCCCTGCAGCTGCATTGGCATTCATGTTGGCATGAGCTGGACGGGGACTCCCATAGTTGGAACCTGAGAAAAAAGAAAAAGCCAAAAATAAAACAGAGAAATTTGTGAAGACATTTTTTTAAACTGCAGAAGAGATAGCTAATGCTCTTAAAAAACCTTCAGTATCAGCAAACTTCAAGAGCTAAGGTTAAGGATAAGTGTAGGGTATTGTAGGTAATTTAAACTTTTCATTGTAAAGTAATACTACAATGCAATCCTTTGTCTTCAAGAGACTCCCAACAAGACTGATGGACACTGACTGTTAGAAGTGCCTCTAATCAATAGAGTCTCCAGAGGTTCACAGACAAGAAACTATCCTTCCTTATTTTTTAAACAACACATTTTGCAAGTTGGAGTGTTTGAAAGCTCAAAAGGTGAGGCTASCCCTCATCACTTTCTCACACAGACACGCAGCACAGTGCTATTTGATACATGGCAAAGGACCCAAATGAGATTCTCAAGCCCCATCATAAAAATCTTCATGTTTTTTCAAGATTATCACAAAGCAAAGTGAAATTTTAACAATAAGCTTAATTGTCTCCGCAAACAGTACATATGTATGAGCCTAAGAACAGCRTGACCAGAAGGTACAGTGAAGCAGAAACCAGCACACAAAGGCAAGGCTCATGGCTTTTGTGCTCTGTATGTTCCTGTGCAGATTGTAAAGGCCAGCCAACATATATTGGAACCAATTCCTAATCCTGAACAACTAATTTTAAGATAGAYGAACCACTGAATCAATGCCAAAACTTACTTTAAAAACATGAATTAATGCGAATGCTAAAACCTAGCAGTCCCAACTTTGCACCTTATTGAGTAAGGAAGTATATATGTTTGCCCAATCATAATAATGGAATATACACATCAGGTGATATGTGGCTGATAACGAGAAGGTCTTAGAAGCACAAAGAAGAAATTCATTCTTTCAAGCTACTGCACTTGTTCTATTGTTTCATTAAAGACAGCTAGATCACTTGTGCCTCTTCAATGAGGCTCTTTCAGTGACTCAAACTAAAACCTCAATTACTTCAAGAGGAGCAGATTTTGAAACTTCAAAACAGATTCTTWCACTCTTTGGACTATATTTCGGCTGAGCTCTGCAAGAACTTGTCAAAGATCAACTGGATTTTACCCCAGACACTTTACAGAAGAAAACATAAGTCCTGTTTAAAAAGTGCAACACAGAATCTACACAAAGTCGCAGCAACAAACTTTGATTAAGAAGGCCTTGTCAAGGTATGTCCTGTATTGTAATTAAGAGACTACTTCTATTTGTCGTGGACCTGTGAGTCAGCCTGTGGCCCCTAAGCTGAGGTAAAAGGAGGCCTGAGGGGTCTATAGGTCTTATTCCTCCCCAGTTCAGCTTCAAAACCCTGCCCACTCCTGAGAATGGAGTTTCCATTTGCATCRGAGCAGCAGACCACACTTTACAAAAGGTGCGCACACAAGGGCCAGAGAGTAGAAAACCACTAAATGAGTTAGATCACCTATTTCAAAGCAAGCTCAAAGCCCACTGTTGACTGTATTTCACTTTAAATTAGCGTAGAAATATGGTGTTACTAAATAGGACAGATGGGCTCCTGTAGACTATCAGACAAAGCAAACAGAAGACCACTTGTAACACTGTTTCATTTACAATATCAGAAGAAAGACATTTAAAACCAGAGAACTGGCAAGCCTTCCTTGAATGGAAATAATTACTCAAGATGTGTATTTCATAGCTGGATGTGCAGTGCCGAGGTATCACTGCACTGACTGCACTACAAATGAATTAAAGCAAGTAGAATAAATACAATTACACTGACACACAAAGTGCAACAGGATATGCCTCTACCTAGAAAGCATTCAAGATTTGTAAATTCATCTCACTGAATCRCAGGGAAGGACATGAGAGAGTCAGATGTTATTTTATGTCAGGCATTGCCATAAAATTTTCAGGCTGTTGCAGTCTCATAGCAGGGAAATCTAGAGCTCGTCTCTGCTCACTGAAAAACCTCCTAGCTGCAAACCAGCCAAAGGAAACTGATGAGTAATATGACTCTGATATGTGAAAGGGAAAGCTGAAAGAAACAAGAAATGGGAAGTGGTTAATTCACATCCCTCAGATTTTGAAAATGAAGAAAAGGAGCTTTCAGAATCATACAGGCTAAGCAGATTTCCTCGATGAAGCAGGCAATCAAGTGGCAGACAAACTTAGTTTTCTAAGGCTAAGCAAATTGTACACAGCACTACTCATGGGATACATATTTATTTTCAGACTAGTTCCAGATGCAGTTTCTCTTTAGCATCTATTTGACCTCCCTAGTCTGAGGCATGCTGGAAAAGAAAAATAAATGGAAAATTACCTTAATTATTCTCCCACTCCAGCTCTTCTTTAATACTGACCCATTAGAGTGGATAAGAAAGATGTTTGTTTTCCAGTGAAAGCAAACTTGCTGATCCCTCTCCACAGTGTTCTTATCATGCTGACTAGGCCATGTGGTCCTGTAAATTAACAGCTGCTGCATCTTAATGAAGACTTTTCTGCAATTTGGGAATGTGTCAGGTATCTTCATTATTATTTCTTATTAGTTAGGTTCCACATGAGGATCCAAGTCTATGCATTTTGACTTTGATGTGCCAACAAAGTCAAGGATCCAACTTTTGGTGGTTGCATTGGTTTTGCTTCTAATATGATCAGCACTCCCATAACAAAGTGCTTTGTCTCTACTGACTCATCGTTTGAAATTAATGACAGATTTATATTAACAAATTTTACAAATATTGATTTCTGATAAGGATCTGTCTGTTTTATGAAGCTCAGAAGCTGCAGACACTATCTGTACTGAATGACTAATGGCAGTGATAAATGACTTATTCTAGAGGTAGTTTATAGAAACAGCTTGAATAAAAGAGTGAAGCWCCCACAGCTTCACAGAAACTACAGTCCAGAACAGAGCAAAATGTTTTCAAWGGCAGCAGAGCCAAAGCTTCAGGGAGAATGAAATTCTACCCTGTAATCTAAATGCTTAGGTGTAATTCCTGAGAACTAAGGAGAACACAGTTTGTATTGAACTTGTGGGGCACCATGCAGAAATTTCACCTACAGCACTCATTTCTTCCCCACCACAAAACTTTGCGGCAGCCTGAGAGCTGCAGTTACTGGAGTGGGGATTTTTCTTTTTGCAGTGTAGCAGTAAAGTACTTCACTCAATTTCCCCACTACAAATAAAGTTTCACGCTACCACTATACCATTATTAAGCTGGATGTTGACCAGAACTAGGAAATGGAGATTGAGCCCCCACCCAAATGCAATGACTCACTAAGCACTGATCCACAGCATCATCACTCTGCTAATCCCCACCACCYTTCAGCCAGAATTTCTATTGCTGACTATGTCCAACTGGTGCACAAAATTCTGCTTTCCCAACTTCTTCTATGCTACAGATCATGAATTTAGGTATCTGAATATAATTAAACAGAGAAGTCCATGTAAGTGAGCAAGTTTGATTACAAAGTCCTTGGAAGAGACTTTCACTTCCCAAAATAATGCAGATTAGAAGAACTAAAAAARATGCTAAAAGAACAGAAACACACATCTCAAAAATCAAAGTTAAGTCACAAAAGGAGTACGTAAGGTTGCTCTACAGCACAAAATGAACCACGATGCACAAAGTACCTGACGTTGTAAGCTTACAGCTAAACCACYAAACCATCATTACCAAAATCACTATTAAATTATACACTGATGACCATTAACAGCTTTATAAGTGGTATTTGCATTTTAATACCATCTGTCATGCCACTTATCTCAAAAAAAAAAATGATCATTAAAAAAACCAGCTATGAGGTGACCATTTGATACAAGATGTGGGCAAGTTAACAACACAATGGAATCACAACTTCTGTGTTTTTTTGAACTTCACCTAGTTACCCATGTATTTATTTTAGAGAAATTTGTATTTAGATTAATTATTTCAATAAAAATAGACTTATCATGATGTGGAGTGTCATGATTCTTTTTTCTCCATCACTTTAAAAACAGTAGAATCCTGAAATTTCACACCTGGAAACTGCTGCACATCTGTGTTTTTCCCCAAAGCAGAGGAGAGCTGAGCACAGTGAAAGATGAGACTGGTTAACTCAATGTCTTAACTGCTCTCAGAATGAAAAAAAAAACAGAAAGTAGGAAACTGGTCACATTACTAAGATCACGTGTGAGACCAATTAAAGCACAKAGAAAAAATGTTATAAAATATTAAAGTGAGAGATGTCAAAACCAGAGGCATGAAGAGGAACACACAACAAAAGAGTCAGTGTATGAGATCATCAGTTAATGAGGAACAATGTGGAAAACATTGATCCATTAACCAATGGAAAAAGGAGAGCATCTGATATATATATAAAAAGGAGAACATCTGATATATCTGGTTGAATAAAAGGACTAAGCATTACATGACTTTTTCATCAATTTTTTCTAACAAAAAAAAAAAAAAATCAGGAGCTGGTGATTAGCACAAATAGTCCCCAAACCAAAATAGAAAACATTTCCAACCGGAAAAGGGAAACAAGTACTTGGGTAATGTCCATRCTTTCAGCTACTTTGGTACTGCACTCTAGAATGTCCTAGAATATTTAAAGCACTTTCTGAAGTAACCTCAAAGCTGTTGGATGCTGGTTTTAACTCATGGAAGACAGGAGAGATCTCAGAGGATTCCAAAGGGGTAAACAGAACCTCCAGTTATACAAACAGAAGCAGAAGGAAGGAAAATTTACATACAGTTTAACTTCAGTTTAATAATAAATAAATATGGAATAAGCAAAATAAACAAACATCAGCAAATACTTGGAGGSCAAGTAGAAAAAGAGCAAAAGACATGGATCATGGATAAACTGCGAAGAAAACCATTTTCTTCCAAAACTGAGCAACAGAATTCACAAGCAAGATGGAAGCAGTAGGGTCCACGTCTCCTGACTTCTTTAATGGTTGCATGAGGTCTTGTATGATAGTTCCGTAAGAATTCTAGGGACTATGAGCAAGAAA